CTGATCCTGAGGAATTTAAAAGAAAATATCTCCCGAATGTACAAACAAAACGAGTTAAGTCTGAAACAAAGAAACCAGAAAAAGTTTCAACAAACAATAGTAAAAAGTCTATCACCAAAACGATTGAAAAGAAACCCAAAAAGCTAAATGAATTAACAGATGAAGAGAAAATAGAACTAATGTTCAGAAAAAAAAATGCAAAACCAGTATCGTCTATCCCTAAAACGGTGTTAAACCAATTCAAAAAACCTAGTGTTATGCAAAAAAGAAAAGAGACACCTTCTAACCACTCTCAAGAACAACGATATGATGATTTTATTGATGACGATTTTAAACAAAATTATGACGATGACTATGATGACGTAGGATATGCAGGAATGGTTGCAGAAGAAGAGCGATTAGCAGAAGAAGGCAGAAGAGAAGATGAAGCAGAGTTATTAGCATTGAAACATTCAGGAAAGTATAGTAATGATTTTTAAGATTCTAAATATGATATTTTTGATAAAATACAATTAATTTTTGTTTTAAAAAGACTCAAAGAAAAAGTATAGAGATTTTTGTTTTGCTGTTTCATAAAAATAAAGAAAGACAAATGAATGAATTTTTCTATTTATCAGTGACAAAGGATGAATAAAAAATTACTGGGAAATATCCTTATTGCTAATATCAAATCCCTATTTTCTCAAAAAAATATAATAAAAAATTAAAAAAGAAAAAGAAGAATGAAAAAAAAGACGTGGCTGAAATGATTCATAAAACCCTACGAACTAAGAACAATATTATTCCATGAACACAGACTTACCTAGTCAAATTAATTTTCCTAAAACTGAAGAGGAAGTTATTGAATTCTGGAAAAAGATTGATGTGTTTAATAAATGCAATGAAATAACTAAAGATAGACCTCGTTTTTCTTTCTATGATGGACCACCTTTTGCCACAGGACTTCCACATTATGGACATTTACTTGCAGGAACTATTAAAGACACAGTTTGTAGATATGCCATCCAAACAGGACATAGAGTTGATAGAAAATTTGGATGGGATACTCATGGACTTCCAATTGAGTTTGAAATTGATAAATTATTAGGTATTCATACTACTGAGGAAGTACTTAAACTTGGTATTCCTAAGTATAATCAAGAATGTAGAAATATTGTTATGAGATATTCAGAAGAATGGAAAAAAGTAGTTTGGAGATGTGGTAGATGGATTGATATGGATCATCCTTATAAAACAATGGACATTGACTTTATGGAATCAGTTTGGTGGGTGTTTAAACAATTGTATGAAAAGAATTTAGTCTATAGAGGATTGAAAATTATGCCATTTTCTACTGGATGTTGTACACCATTAAGTAATTTTGAAGCAGGTATGGCTTATAGAGATGTACCAGATCCAGCTGTCACTATGACATTCCCTGTTAATGGAGAAGAAAATACTTATTTCCTTGCATGGACAACTACTCCATGGACTCTTCCATCTAATCTTGCACTTTGTGTCAATCCTAATATGGATTATGTTAAATTTTATGATGAAACTACTAAACATAATTATTATATGATGGAATGTTTAATGCCAACACTTCCTAATGCTAAAAAAGCAAAGAGAACAATAATAGAAAAAATGAAAGGTAAAGATCTTGTTGGAAAAACTTATGTTCCATTATTCCCTTATTTCAAAGACCTTAAAGGATGTTTCAGAGTTGTTGCTGATGATTATGTCCAAAATGATTCTGGAACTGGTATTGTTCATCAAGCACCAGGATTTGGTGAAGACGATTATCGTGTTTGTATGGCTAATGGTATTATTAGTAAAGGAACTAATCTTGTTTGTCCAATTGATTTTTCAGGTAAATTTACTGCTGAAGTACCAGATTATCAAGGTAGATATATTAAAGACTGTGATAAAGATATTATTGAAAGACTTAAGAAGGAAGGAAGAATCTTTAATGTAGCAACTATTACACACTCATATCCATTCTGTTGGAGATCTGACACTCCATTAATTTATCGTGCTATTCCATCATGGTTTGTTAATGTTGAGTCTTTCAAAGATAAATTAGTTGAAAGTTCTCAACAAACTTATTGGGTTCCAGAAAATATTAGAGAAGGTAGATTTGAAAATTGGTTAAGAAATGCAAGAGATTGGGCTATTTCTAGAAATAGATTCTGGGGAACACCAATCCCAATTTGGACTGATGATGATTATACTGAATTTGTTTGTGTTGGAAGTGTAAAAGAACTTGAGGAACTTACAGGACAAAAAGTTACAGATCTTCATAGAGAATCTGTTGATAATTTAATTATTGAAAAGAATGGTAAAAAACTTCATAGAATCTCTGAAGTTTTTGATTGTTGGTTCGAATCAGGATCTATGCCTTATGGACAAAGTCATTATCCATTTGAAAATGTTGAACAATTTAAAGAGAATTTCCCAGGTGATTTCATTGCTGAAGGTATTGATCAAACAAGAGGATGGTTCTATTCTCTTATTGTCATTTCTACTGCTTTGTTTGGAAAAGCACCATTTAAGAATTGTGTTGTTAATGGTCTTGTACTTGCTTCTGATGGTAAAAAAATGTCAAAGAGATTAAAGAATTATCCTGATCCAATGGATATGATTAATCTCTATGGTGCTGATGCTTTAAGACTTTCACTTATTAACTCACCAGCTGTACGTGCTGAAACTGTTAAATTCCAAGAAAAAACATTAAAAGAATTAATTTCAACCATTTTCTTACCATGGTTTAATACATTAAGATATCTTAAACAATCATTTAAACCTGAAATGAAGATTATGGCTATTGATAAAATTGCTAATATGAATGATATGGATAGATGGATTCTTTCTTCATTAATGTCACTTGTAAAGAAAGTTAGAGAAGAAATGAAAATGTTTAGACTTTACACTATTATTACACCATTAGTTGATTTGCTTGTAACCCTTTCTAATTGGTATATTAGATTAAATAGAAAAAGGTTTAGAGGTGGTTATGGTGAAGCTGCACAAGAAACTTCATGTAGTGTATTGTATCATTGTTTGAAGATTATGTCAATTCTTATGGCACCTTTTACACCATTCTTCTCAGAATTCTGTTATCAAAAATTAAAAGCATTCCCATTAAATTATGAAGAGAAGATGGAAGAGTCTGTTCACTTTGTCCAAATTCCTGAACCACTTGAACAATTCCATGATGCTAAACTTGAAGAAGTTGTTGATGCTCTTAAGAAAATTATTGAATTAGGTAGAAGTGCTCGTGATAAGAAAATCCTTCCATTGAAACAACCATTGAGAAAGATAACAATTATTCATGGTTCTCAAGAATTCCTTGATCGTTTAATGGTATTTAAAGAATATATTGCTATTGAATTAAATGTAGAAGAAGTTATTGCTACTACTGAACAAGATCAATTTATTACTCTTTCATTAGCTCCAGAAAGAGCTGTTATTGGTAAGAAATATAAAAAAGAAGGAAAGAAATATATTGATGCTTTAATGAAAGTTGATCGTAATAGAATTTTGAAGTTTATTGAAGAAGGAAAAATTGAAGTTGAAGGACAAACCTTTACTGAAGAAGAAGTTAAAGTTCATAGACAATTTAGTGGTGACACTTCAACACAAGAAGCAATGTGGGATAAGGATGTATTAGTTTTATTAGATTGTGTTCGTGATATTAATTTGATTCAAAAAGGAATTTGTAGAGAAGTAAATAACAGAATCCAAAAATTAAGAAAGGAAGCAGGATTGAAGGTTGATGATAATGTTATTGTTTATTATAGTTATGATGATTCTAATCATACTAATATTGATGAGGCAATTAAAGCACAAGAAGAATTCCTTAAATCTTATGGAGTTATTATGAAAGTTAAAGAAGGAGAAATAGCATCAGTCAAAGACGCAAATGTTACTTTGAAATGTGTTACCGACTCTATTCACTTATTCCTTGTTAAGCTTTAAATGAATACTTTTTGGTAGAAAAAAAAATTTTATGTTAAAAATCCTTTTATTATAAAATTGATTTTCATAATAATTTCAAAAGAAAAGAATATTATGTTTAGTCAGAAAAAAAAATAAGTAAAAATAAATAAGAAATCAGAAAAATTTCACTTAAAATTTGTATTAACACGTTTTGATGATTGAACCTACTTTGATTATTGGAACTTTTAACTATGTTTGTTTAGCTGTTATTTAGTTATAACAAAAAAATGAGAAGGTAATAAGTAGTATGTCAAAGACACTGAAATTAAAGATATAATATCAAAACTGGTTGAAGTTATTTCTGTTGATATTAAAACTGATGTGTCAAGTGGTAAATCTCTTGGAGTTGCTGTTGTTACATTAAAAAATAAAAGTGACTGTGATGGATTAATTAAAGCTCTAAATGAAAGTCCAGTTGAAGATTTGATTGGTGACAAAGATAAATTGTGTAGTGAAAAGGTTTTAGCTCAACCATGGACCACTAAAACAGAACTTCAATTTATTTATGAGAATGGTCAATTTTCACATACTTCTTCAAAAGAATATTATGCAAATGAATTGAAGAAGTTTGGTTTTCTTTTCTTTTTATTTCTAATACAATTAATTATACCAACATCGTAGAGGTGAAAGTAATAGAAGAGGTGACGAAAATGAAAGAAAAAGGTCTCGCTCTAGACACTCTCGTTCCCATTCTAGACACTTTAAAGGATCAAAAAGACATCACTCAAGAAGCAGATCAAGACGTGAAAGACGTCGTTCAAGAAGTAGATCACCTCGAAGAGATAAAGATAGAGACAGGTCTAAGAGAGATTCTCATCGCCATTGAATTGAATTTTTGTGATTGATACATTTCATACAAATCTATTATATTTTTAAAATTTGTTATATTATCTTCTTTTACAACAAAAGAAGTAAGAAAAATGTTATAACAAAAAGAATAAAAATCAAAAGAAAAAAAAAAGAAAAAAAGGAACTAAAAAAAAAGAAAAAAACTTAAAAAAAATTATATTATTTTGAAAGGTATGAAGCAAATTCTTTTTATTTCAGTATTTGTTATTTCCAGTATTGCACTTATAACTGAAATTGGACATACAGGAATATTAGCTGCTAATCTTGTTACAAGTGAAAAAGATGTAGTTGAATTAGAAAAACGAATTCAAATTAATGAAGATAGAGAAAGAGTTCTTAAAGATCAATTGAGAATGCATTATCATGACCTTAGACTTGCTGCAAATCCTACATCAAGAGTTCAACTTGAAAGAGGTATTGAATCAATTTTAAGTGAATTAAGAGTTCTTAGAGCTGCTACAAGAAAATTCCTTGATAAAATGAGAGGAATTGCTGATGGACTTACTGGAATTGAACGTAATGAATTTATTAGAAGACATAGACTTGAAAGAAGAGTTGGAAGTACATCTAATTTAAAAGCATCAAAGATTACAAAACAAGCAAAAAAACAAGTTAAAAAAATTGCAAAAGAATCAGCTAAAAAATACAGTTCTATTGCTGCCAAAAGAGCTGGAAAGAAAGCTGTAGAAGAAGCTAAGAAGAAATTTGGAAATGATCAACAAAAGATTAAATTAGAAAAGAAGAAAGCAGAAAAGAATGTTTATAAAAAAGCTTATAAAGCAATTATGGAAGAAGTTAAAAACACAGCATTAGGATTACAACCAAATGCTTTTAAGAGTAAATCTGCTGATATTGTATTGAGAGCTACTAAGAAAGATAATATTGCAGTTGATATTAATAAAAAAGAAAGGTCTGTAGCTGTTAATAAAGCTGTTAATAAACAATTAAAAAAAGTTTTAACTCCAGCACAACAAGAATCACTTAAGAAAACTAAGAAGGTTGTTCAAGAAGCTCAAAAAGAAATTAAGAAGAGTGATGAAGAACAAAAACAATTAAATAAAGTTAAAGAAGCTAAAAAGAAAATTCAAAAACAAAAAGATGAACTTGTTAGACAAAACGTTAAAATGAAAAAAGCAATTAATAAAGAAAAAATAACAAAAGGTAATTTAGTTGCAAAGAAAAATATTACAAATAAACCAAAAATGAATGTTATTAAAGAAAATAAGAGAGCTATTGAAAAAACTGTTTATAAAACACAACAAAGAGCTAAACAAGAAGGTCTTCAACCAATGGGACAACAATTAATTCAAGAACAACCAATGCCAAATATGTTTGACAATATGCCAACTGTTGCTGAATTAAATAAAGAAAGAAATATGAAAATTGATCAAATTAATAAAATGAGACAAAAACAAAGATCTCAATTATTTGAACCAAGTTTTATTAACGCCATTCCACCAGAATTAACAGTTAGCCCAATGATCGGTAATTATGGTCCTGCAATGGATATTGAAGAACAAAAACAATATATGTCCTCTTTATTTGGAGGAGTCCCCGAATTACCATTCTTAGAAGATCAATACTTAGTGAATCCAATGGAGATTGATGCTGCCTATAATCAGATGTTGATGTAATTCACAATTAAGTTCTTTTTTATTATTCTATAAATTTTTGTTATTTTTTATGTTATTTGTTTTTATAAACTAAAAAGAAACACTTTAAACTTTATAAACTGAAATAATTATGATACAAATCTATAAATTAATAATAAATAAATTATAATTAATAATAAAAATAAGAATGAACAGAAAAACCCTACAATCTAAAAATTTGAGATAGCTAGCGATGGCCTTACACAAAGCTGGTTTAAGTAA